TTGAAATGAAATAACTCCCATTTTGGAGTGGACTGTGTGATGAAGATGTAGTTATAAAATAAATAATGATTCAGCTCTAACTTTCCATTTTGTCCTTATTAAGTTGCTCAACCAGGTGTTGAAGCCAATAGAATTTGCTTTTCCTCTGTTGGAAAGCTATTTTGAGTGCAGTGTGACTGAAGAACAGCCACTTATTAGCTGTTCGGCTGTGCTCTCGGCTTTTCTGCTAGAATCTCCTGCAATTGCTCAAACAACACTTTTGCCAATACTCATCTAGCTCAATCAGTAGCTGTAACGCTGGAGTATGAAATTATGTGGTGGTTGCAATGGTGATAAGTTGCCTGCTGTTTAACATCTCTGTTTCACGGCCTGGTGTCGGGAGGGATGCAATACTTATTTTGAGCTTCAGTTTGTATTTCTTTCTCTCTTCAGCCTATCCAATTGAATTCCCATGTAATTTCAGTGCAGTACACATCCTGGCTGGAATTCCTGGGTAATGTTGTTGTGTGCTGTTACAGAGTTGCCATGTTTCACACTGGAGCTATCTTTCCTTCGTGATGAGGGATGTAATCCTTCTGCATCCCAACTGGACTGTGAGGATTAATTAAAGTTTGCAGTGCACTGCGAGTACCTTGCATGCTATTGAAGTGGAAATTATTGTTTGTTACAGCCAGTCTGAATGCCATCTGGGATTTCCATGCTATTGTTTCAGCTCTGTTGTACATCACCAAGCTCGAGCTGGTACCATGAACAAAAGATTAGCATTGCACTCTGTTGTGTGTTCGGTGCTGTGTCTAGCACCTATATAAGGCCACGTACATCCTGAGAAGCTGTGCTCGGCACACTAGGACTCCAAGGGCTCTTCTGTAGCTTGAAGCCTGCAACATCCCTTTCCTTTTTTTTCTGCACTTCCACTCTGGTATGGGCTGGATCCATAGTGCAGTGGATCCCTTTGGCCTTCTCCACTGTCACCCTTGCCTGCTATTAACTTCAAGTCAGCTTTGGGAGACTGCATAAGAAATTATGGTGGAATTGGGCTCTGCATTTGGCAAAAGATGCTTTTCCCATGCAGCAGAATTGTACCTTTGTGTGGCATCTGAAGTCCTATGGGGACATGGCAAAAAGGGCTGATCTTGCCTGAGACCCAAGCCAGTGATGTAAGCAATGCATAGCCATTCTTATATTCTTATAATAAACTTAACCCAAAACCTGTTTTGCTAGTTCGCTGTGAGATTCTTCTTCAGTCTCTGCAGGGCCAGATGAACATATTTGAACGAAACAAATCACAGCCATGATTTGTTACTCTGCTTTTATGCCCCAGCTTTAGTTCAGGTAAGAGTGCATTTTAAAACACATTCTTGTGACTTCATTGCCTTTGTAAGCCACAATAAACAAATGGGGTTTAAATGACTGTGGGAAATCCCCTAGTATCATGACAGATACTCATTATTGACAGAAAAAATGGCATAAAATGTAACCACACAATTCACCTCTGAGCTGAGAAAGAGATCAGCTAACAAACAGTTTGAAGTCCACTTCCTGTCTGAAGGATTCCATTATGTGTCTTACCTAAATAAACTGGGAGGCCTGACCTTCCTTAAAGGGCACTATTAAAGAGGTACAAATGTAGTCCTCTCACCACACTAATTACTGCTGTTTACATTTTTGTAGATCTGAGAGGTTTCAGGTTTAGAGTTAGACCCCAATGCTGAGTGCTAAATAAATACCTACCAAAAGTTAGATGCTATCCCATTGAGCTTCGTGTTCCCTCACTCCCCCCATAGCATCAGACTCTTCTCAACCTTTGAAGTGTCCATTCTGGTTCTGTGAACAAATACAAAGTTAATTTGGCAGGAATTCTGCTGTAACTGTTCTTCAGTGAGGACAGCATCATGTACATTACTCTTCTCCCCTCCTCCCCCCCGTGAGACATTAGTTTCTGTTTTTATGAAGAAAAGCATAGGTGGTATCTACACTTCCAGATTCTGGAGCCAGCTTAAGGAACAATGCCTATTTGATAATTTTCAAACAACCACACTATGTGGACTATGTTTGTCTCTACACATCTCCAACCTGCTGCCCAATTTCAGTCAATTTTTACTTAATGTCTTCAGAGATACTAAGGTCTTAGAAATTTCATAAAAATAGGCAACTGGTTACAGAAAATAAACTGTATTAGTGACCCCACCAGGCAAAGGTTTCAGCAAAGGTAATAATCATCTTTGGCATTTGGCCTGGTATTGGGGAAGCAGCATGGAGAGCTCAGAAACATGCATTGCCTCTTACCCAGCCAGTAGCTGGGAGCAAGGAGATGAGGTTATAAAAAATGTGAACAGAAAGCTCCAGGTGAAATTTCAGGGAATATGGGGCTTATGACAAATCTGTAGGAAGCAAAGTTAAATAGAAAAATGTAGGAGATGAAACAGAGTGTCAAAGCAAAAGAGAGGATGGAGAGGAGATGCAAAAAGGGTAGAAGCATTTAGGAAAGAACAGATGGGGCAATGGAAAAAAAAGGGCAGATTTGGGTAGGGGAGATTCTGGGAGGGACAGGTGAAGAGATGAACAACTGGGAAGAACAGAGACTGGGAATCAGAATGAAGGAATGATACAAGAAGAACTGACGTCTAAATTTTTATTACAATATAAATGCAATTTATTGTCATTAGAGCTTCTTTAATTCCCTTTCAACCTTTCTTTAATGATGCCCATATGTTGCAAATAACAGGGTTTTATGACTTTTGTTCTCTCACCTTTCCCATGGCTTACATTCCCACTTTAATTACTACACTGACATCAGATGCCTCGCGTAATGTTTTTGCACCAGTGCTCCCTATTTGTGGTGATATCGCACTTGGGGAAACAAAACCACCTGTCTCTCCTGGTCGAAGGCTACTTGCTGTTCTTGTGGATGTCCACCAGATGGCAAAGCCGGTATTTTTGTAGAGTTTCCAGGCCACCTTCAGATACTAATTTACCCTAGAGAGAGCGGGGGCTTGTTTAACAGCAGATCCTTTACTGCATAGATAAAAATAAGTGATTAGATTCTGTGTGGATTTCCCGGGAATAATAATAAAACAGGAAAATAACATGCAGTTAGAAAATGATAGTGCTGTCAGGAAGGCACAACGTTCACTCTAGTCACTGCATATCTCTGTATGAGGAAAACAAATCTCAAAAATCTCTTGAGTTAATATTACTACTTTTTTCTGTTATTATAAATTGTATAGAGACAATAATGTTTTCTCATGTCTAGTCTCTTTGAAATTGTTGGGACTAGACCAGGTCTTAGAATGAAATCTACATAAGTAAAACTAACTGCCCATGACTTGCCTAAAACTAATTTCCTAGCTCTTGTGGTTATAGACATAAGAATAGCAATGAGGCTTGTTAACGCTCTTTTCCTTCCAACCTGCCCTCATGGTGGCAAGGCTGTAATTATGCAGATAAGCATTGATCTTCTTCCCTTACCTCTGTGGAGTTTACTTACTGTTTTAACCATGTTGGCTCAAGAAACTTCTGTCATTTCATCATTGAAACTCGGTTGCATGTATATACAGCACAAAGACATGGAGAGTTTCCTTAAAGAGGCTACATCTGGATAGCACTTGTTATAAACTGATGTAACACTATCGGTACACAAGCTCTGTACAGACAGGGCACGATATTGTAAGATGTTGAATGTTCTTAATTACTTAGCTTAATTTTACATTGCATTGCCCCTTCATATAGTGCACTATCTCTGCTGAAAGGCCTATACAAAAGGCAGTGAAAAAAATCTAGTCCCTTTAGCTTCCTCCAAGAAATTTAACCCCTTCTCCCTGCAAAAAAACCCCTATGTCAAGAGACTGTTTAGAGACTTAAAAAAAAAAAAAAGGAAGAGGGTGAATTTACCTCTCTTTTTTAAGAAAAAAATCCCTGTCTTTTCAGGTTTGGTCTCTTTTCTAAGTGGTAGGAACAAAGGAAGGATGATTTGTTTCTTTAATGGTTTTGTAGGTTGACCTGAATTCTGCTTCCAGCAGATTGATAGGGGTAAGAGGGAATGTTACAGTCTTTCTCTTCAGCTGGCTGGTTGACTTACAGCTGGCATCAAGTATATTCGTTCAATGGCTCCCAATCAATTATATCCTGTAGTACTCGTTTTTCCGAGTATCAAGACACAAGTAAAAAGATGAGGCCGTTCCCACTCCAAGTAGATGTTAGGGCACTGTGGGAAAAAAAGCCAGTGCTATATTTGGAGCATTCCTAATTGCACTGTTCTATTTCCAGCTGCCCGAAATCTGCGCTAGAATTTTAATTAAGGGCTAAATTCATGCAGCAAATCCTAACAACAGGAAACAGTTATGTTATTTAAATAGGCTTTGAAGTGATCAGATTTTATCTCCCAAAGCAGCCCTCGGATGAATATTAAAGCCGCTTTTGTTCTTCTGGAAAGGGCTGCAATTGCTTGGCAAGCTGAAGGAGGTCACGGTCTCTGGTTCGGAACACCACTAACAGCGGGCCAGCCGTCCAGGGGACAGGCTGGGCGAGGCAAGCAGCCGTTCCCTTACGCACACCGCCCCCGCTGGCAGAACACCCAGCGGGGAGCACTCCGCGGGCTGCCGCGCCAAACCTCCGCCCGCTGCCTCCCCGCGCGGGGGGCGGCGCGCCTCAGGCCAGCGGGGGGACGCCACCTCCCGCCCCAACATGTCGGCCCCGAGGCCTCGTACCCGCCCCGGCCTCTCCCCAGCGCCGCGGCGCCCCCTAGCGACTGCGGCGCCCCCCGCAGCGCTCCGCTCCGTTGCGGGGGCCGCGGAGCGGAGCGCGCATGCGCAGGAGTGGCTCCGCGCTTCCCGCTCCGCCCCTCTCAGTAGGGCGACAGGCGCAAGCGCAAGGAGCGGTCCCCGCGTGCCCCGCCTCCTCCCCTTGGCGCATGCGCACGGCGCGGCTTTGGAAACCGCCAGAAGGGGCGGGGGAGGGATGGGTTGCTGCAGGCACGCGCGGCGCTGGGGGCGGGGCCGGGGTCAGCTGACTCGGCAGCCTCGCGCTGAGTGACGGTTAGCCGCGGCCGTTGGAGCAGTAACGGTAGCGACGGCGGCGGTGGCCTGGGGGGGCGGAAGGAAGGAAGGAAGGGAGGGTCTCGGCCCGAGGGAGGCGCTATGGCGACGACCGTCACGACTCAACGGGGCCCGGTGAGTGCTGCCGGGTGAGGATCAGCCGCAGGGGCCTCTGAAGGTTGTCTCCTGTTAATTCTCGCGAATTGCACCGCGTTGGGCTGGTGAGGCCCGGCTTGGACCCTTCTGAGCTTCGGCTTCTGTCCCTCTTCCCCTCGGCCCGGCTCCTGCCACTGGGCTTCGGTGGGAGGGTGACTCATCCTTCTTGTCTCCCTCCTTCCTTCCCTTCCCCCGCTCGCGGCCCGTGGCAGAGAGGAGAGAAAAGACCTCTCTTCTCCAGACTGCCGTGATACGGCAGGAGGGGGCGGGGGAAGGAAAGTCTGCCTCTTCTCCTGCTTCTCTGTCTTGCCAAGAGGCTATGGGAAAGGGGAGGGGAAAGTCCCTCCTATCTGCGTGTAGGGCTTGAAGAGGCTGTTCTGCCCGTCCTTTGTCTTAAGGGCCTTCCAAGGGAGGGAGCGGCTTAAACTAAACCAAAGTTAAACCTCTTTCTTTTTAAAGCAGGGTAGAGCTTTGTGTTTTCATGGTTGCGCTGGGCAGATTCAGGTAGCTGTCTCTGAAATTGCTACCTGAAAGCTGGAACGTGAAACGTGCTGAAAGGCGCATTCAATGGTAGTATGTAGGCGTGTGCATTGAGGGGGAGGAACTGAGCAGTCTTAAACCAATTTAACAGTCTTCTCAGAGTTCGTGTTGATAGTTTATTGGGAATGTGTTATTGGCTAGTTTTGCCTTGGAATAATCTTGCCCCACACCGGACTGTTCTACTGTGTGGTGTATAACTCTGCGGTATAACATCAGCTCTCGACTGATGTGCTGTTCCTGTCTGTTCCTCCTGTCTGGAAGGATCTGGTAGTAATTGACAATACGATGTTGCTCTGCAGGTGAAGTAAGATTTTCTCAAACAATCAGTTTAAACTGCTGTATTTTATTTTTTAGAAACAGCTACTTTTTTGTGTGTCTATGCAGCCTTGGTGAAAGACTAGAGAAGTGAATTATTAAACTGCTAATCTTGAAAAACTGCATCGTTGTCTGTTGTTATCTCATGACAGTAATGTTATATGATCATCAATTTAGTTCCTTAAAATGTCTTATTTGTCTGGTCTTCCAGAATAGATTCCTTTTACAATGGATTGTGATGATGGTTGTGTTGTAGGAATAAAAGTCTGAAGCGGAGAATTAAGGTAAAAAGAGTGAATTAAGTTTTTTGTTCTCTCTTGATGGTATTGTGAAAAGACAACGACTGTTGTTCTGGTTGAATCTGTGGTGAATTAGGTAGTTGCAATCCCTAAAGCCGTGGTGTTTGAGAGTTGATGGTGTGATTGCACCCAAATAGAATTCTGTCAATATGTAACAGGTTTTACTCAAAGAAGCTCAAAATAATATAAATACCTTTTTTTCTTACGTGTTCCTGACATTGTTGTGTATGTTTTTCTTCCTTGTCTTAACCACTTTAGAGATTTGAGTGCTTTCAAATGAATGAATAAATTATGCATTATTAAGCTGCCATACACAGGTTAGGATGCTGATATGGTACATGCTAGCCTTTCTTAATTCTCTCTAGAGCAGAAGATAGAATTCTATTTGTTTCTATATATACAACTGCATTACAAATGAATAACCACTAAATGGTGCTAAAGGATTGGGAAACATTTTCTCTTTAGTGCTGCAGAGAACAGTTCTGTCCCTTTCTGTTTGAACAGGCAAGAAAATATTCAAGCTTGTTTCATGCAGGTAGGAAAATAAAGTATGCTGCTATACTGTTGCCAGTCTTGTTCTTATACCTGTGCTTTCTAGTTTCTGACGATGCTTATTTGGTGAGTAATTAAAACTTCTGATTGCTGTTTAGTTTTCAGATGAAACAGAACTGGAATTCATCCTGTTCGTTAGTGGTAAATATTCTGCTAGAATGTAGAATTCTCTGGCTGTTTTCAGTATGTTATGGAATTAGCGTGTTTTCATGTTTTGTGATCTTTTGAGAACAAAACAGCTTTTGAAATCTGAACTCTAGCTGAACATATAAGGGCTGCTAAATGATACCTCTCACTTGGAAAAGGTATTAATGAACAATTTGATCAGGCTTCAGGTTAAGTCTGAGAGACCAAAACCTTGTATTTGTGATTCCTTAGCTAGCCAAGCACACCCAAAATTAATCTCTGTGATTATTCACCATACTGGCAAATATGTCAGGTCCTCCAAAATTAGATCAAGTAGCAAGCTAGGAGTACTTAGATTTCTGCTCCTTATTTCCCTAATAATCACTACTCTGATGACTGGAAATCTTCTAACGGGCAGGCTATATTTATGATTACTTCTCTTTTCTTGTCCTAATACTGTCATTTAACTACGTAAGTCTTATTTTCTCTGATTTTACTTGAAGTTTTGTTTCGAGACCCTTCAAAACTTTGGTATCTTTTTCTGAATGAAGGTGACAAAGAAGCAATTCCTCTTTGCATTGTCCAGTGTTGATATGTTATGCTGTCACATGAGCAATTTTGAATACAAAGTCCCATCAGCAAACTAATTGTGTTGATAATTCTGGGTATAATTGAGTATTTTATTAGATATTTTGTTTCTTATTAGAATGTGAATATATGTAGTATTAAAATCCTGATCTGTGAAGGTGGAAATTTCATAGAGATACATTGTTGCAATCAATTTGGATTTCAGAAGTTGTTTAAAAAGTTGAGGGTGTAAGATGTCATTGAGTGTTTCTAAGCAAAATGTGAATTAATTTTTAAGTGCTGTGATCTGATCTCTGGAGCATGTTCCTTTGACAGAAAATGCTGAGAGCAGCATTGGTAATGGTGTGAAGTTCTTGCTCTCTAACAGGTAAGAGAAGTACCTTAAGGCACTAAGTGACTTATTTTCTGTTGCATCCAATGGCATTTTCTTTTAACCAAGACTTGGAGGGAAGAGAGGTCTGTATTAGTATGTCTAGGGGTAGTGTAGAAAAAATCAGAAGCCTGTTCCTGGAATTGATGGCAATTATCCTTCTCCTTAATGCTAATCCCAATGTGAATTTATGGGTTTCCTTATTTTGAGCTGTTTCTATGGCTTTTCCTAATGTTATTCCTCTGTTACATTGAGCGCAGACCAAATCTGCATAGCTCAAATGTGCTAGAAACACTTCTTGATTTTGAGATGTCTATGAACAGTCATTCTATCTTTAATTTTTAACTCACGTTCGAATATAATAGTTCTTGCTATACTTAGTAGGAATTTGTTGTTTTAGTGAAGAACGGAATCTTTCCTGATTGTAACCAATATTTCATATTGATTTCTTCTTCAGTGAAGTCAAACTTTTTTTTCTTTATTAACAGTTGTGCTTTTGCACTGTGGAATGTATTTTGCAGATATTTAAATGTTAATGTCTTTGACAAATTTAGATGTGCTGGGAAAATCTAGAGGCAGTAGCTTGTGGAAAAATACTTGGTCAAGATTAAATATAGGTGGTGTAATTGGGGGAAGGGGAAAATACTGTTAAGGTGATGACTGTAGAATCATAAAGCCTTTATAGGTAGATATATGGAAGCAACAGAAGTGACAACGTAGATGGGAAATTTCTGGCAACAGGAAAAAATAATAAGAACAGGAGAAGAAATGTCTGGTACCTTGCAGTCCGTGACACTTGTTTTATTTTGGTGACGTTTAAAAAAACAACACAACCCTCTCCTCCCCCCAAAACAAAAAAAACAAACAGCAAAAATCTGTAAATGTAATAAACTTTATTGATGTTAACTCTTTCCTTTGTCCATCTCTAAATTGAAATTCTGAAGTAGAGCCTTTGACTATGATTCTACAGGAGTTTAACTGGGGATGTGTCATGCTATAACGTGAGTTCTACAGAATCCTAGAGTAGTTTAGGTTAGAAAGGATGTCAGGAGGCCATGTAGTCCAACCTCTTGCTAAAAACATGGTCAATTTTTAATTCAGACCAGGTTGCTCAGGGTTTTATCCAGTAGGATCTTTGCAATCTTCCTGGGCAATTTGTTCCTATCTGTAGCTGTCCCTGCAGTGAATTCTGCCCCACCCACCCCCACCCCCCCTTATTTCATGTCAAACTTCCCCTGTTTCAGTTTGACAGTTGAGGTCTCCTTTCTTCTTGCTTTCCATCTCAGAAGAGAATGTGGCTCTGTTTTCTTAATGACCTCCTTATAGATACTGTAAAGCTGCTATGAGGTGCATCCTAAGTTTCTTCTACTCTAAACAAATTCTCAGCCTGCCCTCAAAAGTCTTGTGCTACAGCCCTTTTCATGGGCCCTCTTGGTGGATCTTTGCTGGGCTCACTCAAGTTTATCATTTTTCATGTACTGCTGGGTCCCAAATGGGTTGCAGTGTTCCAGATGTGGTCTAATGAGTGCTGAGTAAAGGGAAACAATCATTTTCCTCAGCGTACTGGCTAGGCTTTTGTTGATCCAGTATAGTATGCTTCATTGTATATAGGCCGCATTGTTGTGAGAGTGCTCTGCTCATTCATGTTTAGCTTGCTCTCCACCAGGACCCGCATGTTTTTCTCTGCAGAGCTGCAGCCCTGCCGGTTGTTCTCTAGTCTGTACCAGTGCCAGGGATTTTTCTGTCCAAAGTACAGGACTTTGCACTTGTTGAATTTCATGAGATTCCTGCCAGTGAATTCTTCTGTGTCTCTGGTTGTTTGTCCTGTCCTCAAGTATACCAGTCATTCCCCCTCAAATTTGGTGTCATCCTCAAAACTGATAAGGGTACATTCTGTCTTCACCTCTGGTCACTGATAAGGAAAAATATTAGACACATGTTAGTCTCGGTACAGACCTCTGAGAAACTTTGCTTTTAACCAGCCTCCAGTGTCATTAACCACTGAACTTCAACTGACAAGCTTAGTGACCCAGCCAGTCTCTCATCCATTCAGTGGTCCACCCATTTGGATTGTAATGACCCGGCTTTGATCTTTGATACATACCACTCTCTCCTTGTTCATAGATTCTAATAATTTTACTGTAGAAGGCAATTGGGCTCATTAGGCTGCTTTTTTTTTTTTTTTTTTTAAAACCCTTGGCTATTCCTAGTCCCTGTTTTTTTCCTTCATATGTATAGAAATGGCTTCCAGAAGGACTTGCTCTATGACTTTCTTAGCAACCAAAGTGAAGCTGACCTGCCTGTTGATCCTCAGGTCATCCTTCTTGCACTTTTGAAAGCTGGGTATGACATTTGTCTTTCTCCAGTTATAGGGGACTTTCTCTAATCTCCATTACCTTCAAAGATGATAGAGAGTAGCCTTGAAAAACTATCAGCTAGCTCTATTAGGACCTCTGGATGCATCCTATCTGGTCCCAATTTTTTCTTTAGTGTGCAAAACATAGAATAATAGTTCAAAATTCTCTCTCGTTCACTCACTTATTCTTTCTTAAAAACAGTAAGACCATTTAAAGGGGAATGGTTACAACTTTTTTGACTAGTAGGTGTTTAAAGCTCTTGAACATGAAACTTCTCTGAAACCTAGTATCGGAGTTCCTTGGTAATTGCTAGTGTGGAAGCCTTAGTTACAGTTCCCTAAACGTATGTATTGTGTCTTGGCATGTGGTTCTGTAAGTCAGGGCATTTGCGGTTGTCCTTGCCTCTGTTCCCTTTTCCTCCCATATGTAGGTACCAGTGCTCACATGATCAGTTAGCAAGGTAAGAGTCCTGATGACTTCTTCTGCTCTTCCCTGTACTTCCAACCCATGTTTCATTTTCTTCTGATCAGCCCTCTGCACTAGCATAAGTTAAAATTGCCTTAGCACCATTTAATGTTGCACAAGAAATGGGGGTGAGAAGAAGCAGGAGGGTGAGACTGAGACCGCCCAGTCCTAAATTAGCTCAAATAGCTGTAGAACATCACACCGCCTTCGATTTGAAGAAGTTGAAATGCAGTTTGTATACCTGCAGCGTTTCACTTTGAAGATCCTCAAAACTAGCTCTAAGGTAGTTTTAGCAGATAGGAAGGGCAATATTATTCTGTTTCTAGGTAGTTCATATTTTTGATATGCAGTGCTGTCAATAAAGTTTATTAGGAAGTAATTAACAAGGCAGGCTTATTTTTGTGAATGCCTGCTTAACACTGTCATATTGCTGTCTTGCTTGAAAAGAGAGTTGTAGTAAAATTCAAATGTTAAATGGAATTAATTTTTTGTTCTACAGTTAATGGCAGAGCAGGGTTGAATTTCACATTCTTCCTTAAATGTTGTTATAGTAGAGGGAAGCGCGTTTTTTGTAAAGTAGGTGTTGAGTAGGATCAGTGATACAAGCTTGTCACTTATGTTCTCCTTGCTTTAAAAACAAAAGCTGTGTTTGAACTTTGGTTATGTAACTTTGTATTTTTGATTCAGGTTTGGAGGTGGCAATTATGTGCCTGCTTTTTAAATGCTTTGAGGAAAACATCAATTACCTGTTTTCTTTATAGATAAAAGATTGCATGGTACTGATTTGTCTCTATCAATATGGAATCAACTGATAATTAGCACAAGAACTTACTGCGTAGTGTATTTTCCTCAATAAGCATCTCTCCTAGATATTTCACTGAATATATCACCAGGACTTGTGTACCAGATCTCAGTCAGAGCAGAACATTTAAGATGGTAGCATATGCATCTCCTGTTCCCCACTCTTCCTTTTGGGGGGGTTTACCAGTCGGATCTTTTGAGAATTTAGTTACACTGGCTGTTTTCAGTTTCTGTGTATGTCTGCCCTGCAATTCCAGGAGAAGAATGTAGCTTTGTGTGAGATAACTGAATGACCTAAAATCAGCTTAGATGCTGTAAGAAAACTTTGGTCTCACTTACGGATTTTATTTGTCCCTTTCAGACCTCAGTACAGAGACTAGTTTATATATTTTATTTTGGAGTAGTATTTGGGTGACTTAAAATAAAATTTAAAAAGTTAAAGATATTATTAGACTTCTCACTTGTTGTGAATGAATTAAACTTTCCAATGTCCATGTTAAGGTGGTTGAGACAAAATATGCTATCCTGTTTTCTGAGAAGTTGACAGAGGGAGCTTGCACATATGGGGAATGTAATTCCAGGGCTGCAGCCACCACTTCTGACTATGGTAAATCTTTGATGTCTATTCTTAGAGATGCTAATAACATCAGATTTGAAACTTCCTGGAGGTCAAGGGTTGGAGGGGACCTGCTGTGTTGTAAGTGCCATTGCCTTGCTAATTCTGGTGCCATTTCAAATCTTTTCTAAATGGATTATGTTTTATTTTAAAGCTAACTCCTTTTTTTATAACATGTATTCTAATGAGAAAGCTGTTGCAAGACCATGTCTAATTTCCAGCCTAACTTAAATAAGCTTTCTTTTAATATTAGCACTATCTTTTAGTATAGTCTTCTCCCTCTCTGCCCGCATTTCCCTCCCCACTTTTTAAAGCTTAAGCTACTTAGGATCTTAATTGTAATATTTTAAGGTGCTTCTAAGCAGAAATGATTCAGTCTTTTCCCTCCCTCCCAATAACGTAGCAGCAGGCATTCAGTACTTCCTCCTTAGCTTTTTAATAAAGTTCCTTTCTGGCCTGTAGCACCTACTGTTGCCTACTGAGGCTCTCAGGCAGAAATTGCAGCTCTTGCCAAATAACATTTTGTATGACTGTTGCTATCTCCAAGATGTAATCTTGGCATGCAAGTGCTGACTGATCTTCAAAAGCTATGTCCTAGAGGCTTGTTAACGTCTTAAAGTATGTTCTGTAGGCATGTGTCTGCCAGATATACAATTGAGTAATTTTGCCTGGGATAGCAACATAATAAATTGCACTGTCTTTTGTCTTGATGCGGTGGACAGTTCTGTATTAAATATGTAAGCAACTCTAGACAACAGAAATGAGTACAGCTTAATTAAAAGTTTTCTATGCCACTTTATTTGCCTTTTAAAATGTATTATTATAGCATGCTTGTTATTTTAATGTGATGGTCTCTCCAAATGTCTTAGTGATAATGTTGGCTGAGCATTTAAAATGTAGAAACAACCTGAGTTGTTGAATTGACAGTAATAGAACTGACAAGTAATAGGTAGAAACTTTCCCTTCTTTTACCATAAAGCTAACTGAAAATACGTGGTGACTGCCGATTCTTATTGGCACATGTGACGGAGTTCCGCTAAGATTTCTCTACTTTGAATTTTTTTTGTTCTTTCTTATGATGGACCAGATCTTGAATTCCTCCATTATTGTTTTGAATATGGTGGGATTTCATCCTCAAATTGTCCCCAAAGTTGCAGACTGGCCATGTTTAACATTGGAAAAGCATTAGGGCATCTTTGTTATGTTCAAGGATTCTTAGTTATGTTAAAGGATTTGGTTCATAGAAAACATTGTCTTTATGATCTGTCTTGAAGGTGACTGTGAAAATGACCCTTTCAAATGAAAGCAGGGTGCTATGTCTTGTCACAGGAATGATTGGGTGCAACATGAGTGATAAGTGAAAGAGCTAGGTGCCATCAGATGTCATATGTGAATGGGATGTAAAACTTGGTAGCTCTGACTTTTCTGTGGACTACTTAAATGTCTAGTTGCAGAGCAGACTTGGCTCTGTGTGTCCTACTTTTTTTCAGAGGCTTATGTTGGAAATTACTGTTTTTGAAAGTGAGTATGAGAACATTCTCTACATGAGTTGGCAGTTTTGTCATTTAATTAGTTCTTTGTTCATGCTGTCAAAACTAGACTAAATTCTGCTGAATGTTTTTGCTAAGCTTTTCTTTGATTTATATTATTCTCTCTTTTTTCATTGTGCAAGTAGAAGACCTAAGTGTGAAGGTTTTTTTAATCTTTTTCTTTTCTTTTTTAAGGTATATGTTGGTGAGCTTCCTCAAGATTTTCTTCGCATTACCCCAACCCAGCAGCAACAGCAAATCCAGCTGGATGCCCAGGCAGCTCAGCAGCTACAGTATGGAGGACCAATGGGTACAGTAGGCAGACTCAGCATTACTGTAGTACAGGTATAAATTGTACCATCTTTGTACAATTAAGTAATTATAATTAGCAGATAAGGGGGCAGACAGTACAGTGTTCAAGAAGGAGTTTTGTATCTCAGTTTGAGTGGCTATGTACAGAAACATCCAGATTCCTGTTTGGATTGGTGAACTGATGGAGTTGATACTGGTCTTTATCAGGTTCAATCCTCGTTTATTTTTAGGTGCTTGTGCAGACAAGAAAAAAATATTTATCTTACTTGAAGAATAAAATCTAATGGCTGTTCTTGGTGCCATGTCTGTAAGTAACCACTTGTTATAGAATCAGAGGATAGTTGAGGTTAGAGGGGACCTCTGGAGTTTATTTTGTCCAAACCTTATCCCACCCCTACCCTCCCTAGGCCAGTCCCTTAATTGAGGATTAAGGAGGATGTTATATACAAGGAAAGGCTGAGAGAGCTGGGGAACAGTCTTGGGGGGAATCTTACCAATGAGTAGTCCCTGCCATCAGGTATTTATGAAGATGACAGCTAGGTTCTTTTCAGTGCTATCTAGAGGAAAGACAAGAGGTGCAGCGAGCAGAAATTGAAATACAGCAAACTCTTTAAATATATGAAAAACCTTTCTACTGTGAGAGTTGTCAGACATCAGAACAGGTTGCCTGAAGGGGTTGTGGAGCTTCCACCCATGGAGACACTCAGAACTTACCTGAGCATTTGACCCTGCTTTGAGCAGGAAGCTTGGGCTGGACAATCTCTAGAGGTCCCATCCAACCTCAGTAATTCTGTGAAACCCTTAATTGTGTTAGTGGCCCTTTGCTGGACTTGTTCAAGTATGACCATGTCTTCTACTGGGCAGCCCAGAACTAAAGAGAACAGTACTCCACATGTGGTCTCCCCAGTGCTGCGTAGAAGGGATCATCTTCCTTGATCTGCTAGCTGTGCTTTTCCTAACGCAGCCCAGGATGCTGTCTGTCTTCTTTGCTGCAAAGGTGCATTGCTGGCTTATTTCCAACTTGGTGTCCACCAAGACCCCCAAGTCCTTCTCTGTAAAGCTGCTCTCCAACCAGTTGGCCCACAGCCTATTGTTGTACATGTGGTTGTTCCTCCTCAGGGGCAGAACATTGCATTTCCACTTGTTGAACTTCGAGATTCTTGTCTGTGCACTTCTCCAGCCTGTCAAGGTCCGTCTGAATGGCAGTGCAACCCTATGGTGTCCCAAGAGATAGTCTTCTGTACCTGTCTGAGAGTTTGTGCAAGAATGCTGTGGGAATCTTGGCTGCGTATTGAGGCATGTGGCATTCTGGATAGGAGACTTAAAATGGCAGAGTTAACCTGTGGAACATGAAAAGCTGGTTGAAGTCTTTTGTATTTAAATACGTGTTGATAAAGTATACAGAGCAGCATGCCTTAATTCTGTTACTAATAAACTGGTGGAAGATCAAAAAATGTTTTTGGGAAGGTAATTTACTGCTTTTTTTCCTTGCAGATATATAGGAATGGTGGTGAGTTTGTCTAAGCACGGTTGATTGTGTCCTCTTAAATTACTAGACAGACAATTTATGTGCTGTTTTTTGTTTTGGTGAGGTTTTATGGTAAACTGCCTGATCTCAGGTCTTCAGAGTCTAGAGAGCACATAATTTAGGCGCCAGCTTTCCTACTTTAATTGTTAAGCCCACATTTACAAGGAATGGTTTGACACACTTTTGACCAGCTCTAATATATGAATTACTGAACCAGCAGGTGCCCTGATTGTACGATTTCTACTTTGGCATAGCTATGCAAAGTACTCAGTGTTGTCTTCAGGACAATCATCAACTTGTTTTGTTCTATTCCTCTGATGTTACAGCGAAAGTGTGTTGGATATCTTCTGATTCTCTGCAGCATCTGTTTTTATACTAACATAGAACTTAAGTTGCCCACTGAATTAAGTGATATCAAATGCACCCACTGAGTTAAGTAAGTTTTTTAATTGCTTTGAAAAGTATGATCTACTATATTTTACCTCAATTGAAATGCTTTTGGAGTTTGTGCTTTTGTATTGTGTGATATTCTTGAAGCTACTGGATTTCTGTATTTTATCCTTTAAAAGTGCTTCAGTGAGAGAGGACAGGTTACCTATCCCATTAAGTTTATGATTGTGTATTAGAGAGCAGATACCTAGGCAAAAATTGAACTTATTACTATTTCCTTGTAGTCATATATCTTTTGGTTTGGTATGAAGTAACTTATTTTAGCTGTGGTGAAGATGTGTATTTTCTACAACAGACAGGTTAAAAAGAGGCTCCCTTTTGAAGGTCTCCCAGACATTTAGTGGTGTCATTGCCTGTTCTATGTTTTAGATAATCTTTTTCCTTCCTGTCTACCTCATAATTGAATCTAGTCCTTTGTTCAATATCTGATTCTCTTTGTGAACTAATAGTAATCAACTTCTCAAGTTAATGTCAATATTGTACACTTATAGGCTTTATTTTCTTTCCAGGCAAAATTGGCAAAGAACTATGGAATGACCCGCATGGATCCATATTGTCGAATACGGCTGGGGTATGCTGTGTATGAAACTCCAACAGCGCATAATGGAGCCAAGAATCCCCGCTGGAACAAAGTTATTCAGTGCACTGTTCCCCCGGGTGTGGACTCTTTTTATCTAGAGATATTTGATGAGGTCAGAACTACCATACATTTTTATATTA